ACACAGACCACAGGGTGAGCACCCCCTGCTGGCCTCACTAACACCTCTTCCAGCAGCAACCTAGTTTTCCCAGGTCTCCCATCCAGGTACTTACCAGGCTCAACCCTGTTTAGTTTCAGTGGGCAAACAGTCTTGGGCTACAGGGTTGAGGGGCTGCCGCTTTTACTTTCGTTTTGTGTTTGTTTATTTGATTACAGTTTTATGTTTAAATGTTCACCGGTTCCCGCCTCCTTCTTCCCTGAGCTACGAACTTTGTTACAATATGTATTACTAGAGAGCTCGAATTCCTGAAGGGGAACTCTTCATTTAGCCAAAAAGTACAATGCCATTTTATAATGAAGTACTGCATTTTTGTCAGCTAACACATTTATCACCAGCCAATATTCACATTAAAACTAATAGTATTCCCTACTGATTACATATTTAGTTTAGAATGTGTGACCTGTGCTGGCAAAATGAGTCCACTTCTTTTCTTAATAATAATTTCTATATCACAATTCACAATAAAGCTATTTTTATTTTATCTTTGTTATTATAAATAAGAACAGATGCAAAAAAGTAGAACAAATATAACAAAGAAACAAATAATGCATTGCCTTTTTCATTTTAAATCTAAACAAACGCATTCAAGTAAGAAAAACAAATAATCAAATGTAAAAATCTATTTAGTTTGTTCTTTACAAATAAATTGATTATTAAAACTACAAAAGCAGTTCAATCAAGAGCAGCAAGTGATTCCCTCTTTTCTTTTTATTGTTGGATTAACATTAATGAGGCGGCCTACATATTAAGCCCTACTGTACTGCACGGATCTAATAGAATGTTACACATCAGATGTTTTTCCCCAACAGTTCCCCAAATGTTCACTTAAGACATAACAGATTATGTTTGCGTAAATACTTAAATACTGTAATTCTGTGTATATGTGTATATTTATCGGGATCGCGCGCAGTCGGAAGCACCTTTATGTGCACTCTTCGGATGACAGTCAGCGTGAGAAGTGAATGGAGAAAAGGTACTCCTCTCAGAAAACGTACAAATAAAGGTAATTAAACATCTAAAATTATTATTTGGAGCATTGGGATCGCTAGACGAGGGCTTAACGATAATAATATCGTTAATAATAATTTTTGTGAAAATCTCAAAATCAACTAAAATCAACATTTTTCACTTTTTTTGCCTGTAGCTATTTTATTGAATAAATGTAGCTTTGGTGAGCATACTTTGTTATAGTGTCTCTGAGTCACACACATGCACACAATAGCCCCTATACAACAGCAGTCAGCTATAGGCCAAAAATGAAAATACAAGTGAAAATAATTAAAAAAAAAAAGATTGGCCTTGTTCTTTGACAAGAGTCCAATTACATGTCATGCACCTGTCCATGAACAAAACTAGATACCCAGGCAGAACAAAACCACCAGCAGCAGCATTTCATTTTCCAGGAAACCCAACAGAAGCGGGAATATTTATAAATTGCCTTTTCCAAGAAAATCACTACCATGACATACTCACCCCACCCGATCAAAGTAAAGCCCCACAGGTACTTTGAATCAGACAAGAAGGCCATGAAGATGAGACTGTGCAGGTACAAGCCTTCTACCAGGATCCAGTAGTAGTTTGTAGCCAGGAAATAGATGAACAGCAAGACGGTCACTTTACAACCCATCTGAAAATGAAGAGCGGAGCAGAAAAAGTCAACACTCATATCACAACATGGCAGTTTCGATTAAATAGAGCCAAATGTCCCAAGTTATTCAGTAAACAAACTGGCTGGGAAGCAATACTTCAGCTGTGACAAACTTATTTCCTACTCTCGGTTGGAAGCCACCAAGACTGTAAAAAACAGTGCTCTGTTGAGATGCTTCAGCTCAGACTGACATAAGAGCAAAACAAACCAAGATGCTTTTGTTTGGTTTGCTGATTTGGGACAATCAGTACAATTACATGGGGTTCTTTAGATCAAACCAAAGAATCTCTAATGTGCTAATATTTGTTTAAACACACTGCATCAGTGCATGACATAATCGGGCATAAAAGTGCAGAATCAGAGACACATTTAAAGTATAAATTTACTTAAATTAAAGGGATATCTAAACAAAAATGGAAAATTCTGTTTACTCACCCTCTAAATTATTCTAAACCTGTATGACCTTGTTCCTTCTTTGGAACTTAAAAAAATATGAACGAATATTTCACCTTTTGAAAGTCAAAGCAGAATTGGACCCCATTGACTTTGACTGTATAGAAAAAAACAATCTTCTGTTGTGCTCCAAAGAAGAAAGAAAAGGTGAACTGTCACCTTTACGTCCACTCTGTTATATCCTACAAAAGTACTCATCGTCATGAATCCTCTTTTAGAATAAGTAGCTCATTAACTTCTTTTAAAGGGGTCATATGATGCGATTTCAATTTTTCCTTTCTCTTTGGAGTGTTACAAGCTCTTGGTGCTGTAAGAAAAAGGATGAGGACGATGAAGATCTCGATGAAGATGTTTATTGCAGCATA